TGGTAGCGTACGCCTGTAGTTCCGGCTACTTGGAAGGCTGAGGCGGAAGGATTCCCGGAGCACAGCAGGTCGAGGCTGCGGTGGCCGGGAGTGGCCACTGCACTCCAGTCTGGGCGACCAAGTGAGACTCCAACTCAAAAAAAAAAAAAAAAAAAGAACCTGGAACTTGCATTAGCTGGTCCTATTTCTTTATTGGTGGGTTTGACCCAACTTATAATTTTACCATTTTTGTTGCTTTCAAAGGCATTTCACTGAAAGCAGAGGCTGTCTCAGTCAAGAAAGAATCAGAAGATCCTAACTACTATCAATATAATATGCAAGGTAATACTCTTTTATAATAATTTTTTTCTCGAAAAGTTCTTTGTAGTGGAAAATTTTAATTCCCACCCATCTTAAAACAGGCAAGGAGTGATAGCAATCCATGTACATTTACCTAGGATCTAACGTGTTGCCGTTTGGGGTAAATGATTACAGTTATAAAATAGATTATCTAGCCGGGCTTGGTGGCTCAGCCTGTAATCCCATGCCTTTGGGAGGCCGAGGTGAGTGGATTGCCTGAGCCTGTGGGTTCGAGAACTGCCTGGGCAACTTGGCGAGACCTCATCTCTACAATAAATCAAAAATGAGCCGGGCATGGTAGCGCGCGCCAGTAGTTCCAGCTACTCGGAAGGCTGAGGCGGAAGGATCGCCAGAGCCCAGCAGGTCAAGGCTGCGGTGGCCAAGAGCGGCCACTGCACTCCAGTCTGGGCGACAGAGTGAGACTCCGACTCAAAAAAATAAAATAAAATAAAATAGATTGTCTGAAGCCTAAATCCCTATGCTGTTAGGCATGTGAATTTCATTTCAGCAAGCATTTTACTTGAGTTTGTTTATTAAATATTCGAACATTGTATGTTCCAAAACATTCTCCCCTTAATCCTCTCCTGGACAGCCTGTCCCCTCTGTTACTGAGAAAGTGTTAAAAGTTAAAACAGATGGAGAAGAGATTTAAGAAACTCCGATGCGCATCCTTAGTAATTGTTGCTCCACTGCCATCAGGCAAGTTACGTGGGGAGCAGAAGACCATTTATACCAAATGCACACACTTTTCTAGCATGGCACAGGTAGGTAGTCTGTGCAGTTGTGTGGCTGGGTCCTCTACCCAAACACCCTGATTCCTGTCAGACTTCATCGTGTTGCTGGTTTGACTGTTGGATGGCATGCAGATCTTTTCTCTGCCTTTTTCCTCTGCTGTGCATATAGGCAGAGTCCAGGAAAATCTGCAGTTTCATTTTTATTTTTATTTATTTTATTTTTTTATTTTTTTGAATTGGAGTCTCACTCTGTCACCCAGACTGGAGTGCAGTGGCCGCTCCCGGCCACCGCAGCCTCGACCTGCTGGGCTCTGGCGATCCTTCCACCTCAGCCTTCCGAGTAGCCAGAACTACAGGCGCGCGCTACCATGCCCGGCTGATTTTTTTTGATTTATTGTAGAGATGAGGTCTCGCCAAGTTGCCCAGGCGGGTCTCGAACCCGCGGGCTCAGACAATCCACTCACCTCAGCCTCCCAAAGGCGCAGGATTACAGGCTGAGCCACCGAGCCCGGCTCATTCCTCAGATTTTAAATGTTTTCTACAGAATCTTAATTCTGTGTGGCTCCAGCAGCATTCAGTATCTCCTTAAGTTTTACTGAAAATGTTTTTTATAAAATCCACCGTCAGAGACCAACACATGCATCTGTGATAATTGTGCTCTCCTGGGTCAGCCTGGCAGTTGCAGTCCCTTGTGACCAGTCTTCCTCCCTCCAGGCAGAGGTTCCCTTTCAAGCCATCCTGCAGTCCCACAGCCCCCCACCCCATGAGAGTTATTCTCTGAAAACCAGGATCTATTCCCATCCCCACCCCTCCCCCACTCACTTCCTGCCCGTGACTCTTCATTGCTGGAGGGTCCCAATCTATTGCTTGTGATGTTCCTTCCAGCTGCCTCTCCCTCCTCCGCCATACCCCTTCCTCAGTTCTTTGTGATTCCTTAAACAGGTCCAGGATCCTCCTTCCACCAGTGTTTTCCATAACTGATCCCTCTGATCCCTTCATACTCTGCAGATTTCTGTTGAGACTCCACCCCTCTCTCAGGGCACAGTGAGTTCCTGCAAGGAGCCTTTTCACATCCATGGTTGCCCCTAATCTTGGTGAATGCAGCCTGCTCCGTCCTGGGTAGGCTCTCGCAGACAGCTAGTGGTGAGCTCCTGGTGGGAAGACACAGCACCTCACTTCAGCCCTGGACTTCGTATACACTGGGCACTCACTCGTGCCTGTAAATTGAGGGTGTCCCTCACAAAGAATCATGGACCGGCTACTTCTAAACTACTGTTGATTCAAAAAAGTGCCTATAATAAATTGTGTCTTGACTCACAAGAGTATATTTTTGAACTTTAGTGACCTTGGTGATGATCAGATGGATAGGAGTCTTATAGATTCTGCTCTCAAAGGCAGCAGTGAAGCAAATAAATGATTAGATAGGTGTACCTGCAAGCATTCTATTTTAATTTTTAAGAATTATATTCTGGCCAGGTTCAGTGGCTCACACCTATAATCCCAGCACTTTGAGAGGGGGAAGTGAGAGGATTGCCTGAGGTGAGGGGTTTGAGGCCAACCTGAGCAACATGGCGAGACCTCGTCTCTACAGTAAATCAAAAAAATTAGCCAGGTGTGGTGCGCGTGGCTGTAGTTCAGCTACTTGGAAGACTGAGGCGGAAGGATCGTGTGAGCCCAGCAGGTCAAGAGGCTACAGTGGCTGTGAGTGTGCCACTGCACTCCAGCCTGAGCAAGAGAGTAAGACTCCTACTCAAAAAAAAAAAAATTCTGTCAATTTCTCTCGCCCCTGCTGGCTCTGGCATATCTCTTTTCTTCCTCTCTTCTTTCTCTAATGACCTTTGTTTTAAAACTTAAAGAACAACAACAACAAAATTATATTTCTTTGGTCAGGTGCAGTGGCTCATGTCTATAATCCCAGCACTTTAGGAGGCCAAGGTGGGAGGATTGCTTGAGCCCAGGAGTTTGATACCAGCCTAGGCAACATAGTAAGACCTCGTCTCTATAAAAACTCAAAAAGTTAGCCAGGTGTGGTGGCACGCTTGTAGTCCTAGCTACTTGGGAGACAGGCGGAAGAATCACCTGAGCCCAGCAGGTCAAGGCTGCGGTTAGCTGTGAGTGTGCCACTACACTCCAGCCTAGATGACAAAGTGAAACTCCTACTCAAAAAAAAGAGATTATGTTACTTTAACAAAAACATGTATAATTTATTATCTTTTTCCTGCTTGGCTTAGAAATGACAGAACTATTACAAACATATTCTTTATAGGATTCTGTTAGTTGGACAACTTTCTTAATGCCAGAAGGGTTCAGACTGTCTGACGTCATGTACTGTGTTCCATAGCATTGAATGTTTTTGTAACCGTCTAGATTATGCACATATGGAGTATTGATGTCTTCACTTATTTTTTAAGTAAGGGCAAAATGTTTAAATCTGTAGTGGCCGAAAGTTCAATCCGAGAGACCACCAAGAGCCGATTCTGATGAAAGTTCAAGAGGGTCTTTATTTACAAGCTCGAGCCTGGACCTCTGTCGACAACCGACACCGCGGAGTACATTCAGAGGCCCTGATTTCCTTAAGTAGATGCCTTTTATGCTTTTACACAAAGGGAGGAGGAGTTTGGGGGGCTTTCCAGTTTTGTTACCATTTAATTGGGTAGTTCCTCTGGTGGTCAGCTTAATCGTGGAGGATTGGCTATCCTGACTCGGGCTGACCTTGGCCCACTAGCTAGGGAAGTTGCAGAGACATCTGGAAACTTAGGTGATTTCTCCCTGGCACCTGATTGATTGTTGCTAAGGGGAAAGTGAGACAAGGGAAGAATAACTGGAGCTTTGCAGTTTTTCCCATAACTAGAACTTTAAGCAGTTATATGTTTTAAGACAGAAAACTAAAATTGGCTGTGCTATTGTTCATAAGCCGATTACATATTTATTGGGTTATAGCATGCTCTTAACCTAAGTCTATGGTATACTCTATTACGGTCCTCTCAAATCCATAAAGGCAGCACATGTGAAATGCCCAGAATGGAGACTGGCCCTTGGGGAGCGCCGGTCAAGGTAGCCTTGGCTCCACAGTGCTCAGATACTTAAGAGGGTTTTGCATGAGAATTTGATTCTCCTCCCCACCTCTGCTGGGACTTCATACTCTGTCTGCAACACAGACCTCTCAGAAAATCCCCAGACACACACACACACACACACACACACACACACACACACACACACACACACACCCTTGTGGTGCTCACGGAAGTCCTATAAGGCCCTTGGGAATGGAAGTGCACAGTACAGGCTTTGCTGAGACACATTGTGGGTGTAAGAATGTCAACATTCAGTTTTCCACCTGGGTGACAAGGCATAATCTAGAGGGGAAGCATTCTAGGGAAGGAGAAACATGGGTGCAAAGGCCCAAGGTAAGGAATGTCTTTCTCATATCACATCCCCTCTTCTGTTCTTTTCTTCCACATTTAATTGATCCTTGTGATTACATTGGGCCCACCCAGATAATTACAGAATGATCTCTTTTTCTAAAGGTCACCTGGTCAGCAAACTTAATTCCATCTGCAACCTGAATTTTCACTTGACATGTAACATAACATATCCACAAGTTTTAGACATCTTTGGAGGGCTTTTATTCTTTCTACCGTAAATGTCATCAATAATTGTATGCCAACAAATTAAGTAACCTAGGTGAGATGGACAAACTACTGAAACTGACTAAAGAAAAATAGAAAATGTATACTTATATTTACTTACAGCCATAAAAAATAAAGTGTTTGAATTAGTAATCAAAAAATTCCCACAACCAGTCTGGGCAGCATAGACCTTCTCACTACAAAAATAAGAAAGAAATAAGCCGGACTCGATGGCTCAACCTGTAATCCTGCGCCTTTGGGAGGCTGAGGTGAGTGGATTGCCTGAGCCTGCGGGTTCGAGACCCGCCTGGGCAGCGAGACCTCATCTCTATAATAAATCAAAAAAATCAGCCGGGCGTGGTAGCGCATGCCTGTAATTCCGGCTACCTGGAAGGCTGAGGTGGAAGGATCGCTGGAGCCCAGCAGGTCGAGGCTGCGGTGGCTGGGAGCGGCCACTGCACTCCAGTCTAGGCGATAGAGTGAGACTCCAACTCAAAAAAAAAAGAAAAGAAACAAATAAATAAGCAAGTTTTGCCTTGGGCACAGTGACTCCTGCCTGTAATCTCAGCTCTTTGGGAGGCCAAGGGGAGAGGATTGCCTGAGCCCAGGGGTTTGA